ATATCTGAGCTTTTAGCCTGTTGTAGAAGGGCACCTAGAACTTTATAGATACTATCCTTGGCAGATTCAGAGCTACAGTCAATTGGGGTGTATGCAGACACAATAAACAGGGTGCGATGAACCTCACTTTCTCTAGATTCTCTCACAGATGTTGCCAAACGAACCGCACAGAGTCGACTGTCAACGGGCATCCAATCAAGCAGAGACGCTTCCGCTTGTTCACTCAATACAATACCCAAGACAGCCTTTATTGGAGGGAAGAAAGGTTACTTCAAGTGTAGCTGACGATCAAGAATTTTTTCTCAGGGTGGAGGGAGAATCTACGTGATGGGGTGTTAAGCGCCAAGCCAAAAACGCCCGATTGTGATTGGCCTACATTCCAATCAATAGGAGCACCACATCCGTTGGTCACGGTGGGCCCCGAACACATCTAAGTAATCGATGGAACCCTTGATTATTTCGAGTGCATCTCTCCTCCTAACACGGTACCAGAGTTTTATCAGGCCGGTCAAGCACAAGGGATTACCATATTGTGGATACAGAAATTTCACTGTTGCTTATTCCAAACCTTCCTGGCTCATGAGAGTTTGCTCAATTAGGGAAATTGTGCGGCTAACAAATCAGTGGCGTCGGAATCCCCAAAAATCCGAAATTATATCAGACGAATACCAGTGAAACGGCATAGGCTTTCGCATCAGTACTCAACCAGTAGAACCAAATCAATCATATCCACCATAGGTCATAGTCCACGACAACTTCAGCCAGGGCATGGCTGCTCTCTGTAGGGCGGAGACCATGCCACCTATTTTAAGTACGGGCAGACGTTACTACTCGCCACGATCCCTGTAGGAGACGAAGCAGTTTGTTCTAGTGAACTTTAGCTCATGTTGTGCATATGATATATCATTAGAATGTCGACAGGAATTACCATTGGGTTTTATATCCTTCTCTGTGACAATAATCTGGCTTTGGACGGCCCTCGAATATTTTACGACCACGCATACTGGGCTGCTGGATGGAATACGCCAGGTCACATCGTCAACACCGAACTGACTGCATCTCGATTGTTGATGAAACGCTTGCGAAGTCAACGGATAAGCTCGAAAAACAAAACAAAAACTCTAGAGACTTCCTGAGTTTGATAACTAGGAGCAGCCGGGTGGTAAATTAGACACCAGGCCTTGTGGCGATAATGTACCGAAAGGTGCAACTAGCACTGCAACACTGAACTTCTCTGTTTGTGTTGAAGTAAACTGTTTCTTTGCAGATTGCTCCCTACTGTGGTCATGGGGAATCATGTCTCAGTACATCTTTTCATTACTCGTGGGTTTTGGAAACATCTAACGGGTAGCGAATCTGGCAACATTTTCGTTTAGGCTGAAAATGTTTCACCTGCGCAATTAAGTTGTTTCGCTTTGGCGATTTTTGAAGGTTCAGAACGCTGCCGTTATGCACGACAGGAGTGGTGTCCTCTATAGTCATTGTTGGACCGGTATTCTAGAATTTGGCATAGACTGTATACTTTTGCTTTGAAGAGGGATGTTGGCATCCGTCTACCCTCAATGTATGGCTTCGTTAGAGGCGGTTGATTCGCGTCGCTGCCCACCTCATTTAACTCATCTTAAGTGTTGATCGGGAAGACTTAGTGTTCTCTGTTTATCGATAAATGTGCTGAGCAATTGCACGCAGCCCCTGCAGTCTTTAGGCGCACTTTCTAATGGAGCTGAAACATGTAACCAGTAAGCGTTCTGCCAAGTGTCCTCAGACAAAAACACCAGGCCAGCCGAAGTCACACATTTGCTGGCTAGCCTGGGATAGCTGCGCAGTATGTTAATGACGGAAAGTGTTAATTCTCTCGAGTTTCGTCATGAACTGCATATGTCGAGGCGCGAGCGCGACAAACTAGCATCGTGCTTGTTGGCTCATTAGCTTTCTATTACTTCCAAATAGTCAGCTTATGAGCGTTGAGGACCGCTCGCATTCGAGTGACCTACAAAACTGATTCATCATTTCGATAGTCCAAAGCAACTTATTGATAATATGCCTTGGCCTAGTGAGTGACACATGCTTGAATACATGTTTAATTCTACCCATGCTTGTGGCAGAAAAGAATGGAAACTTGTGTGTTTATAATGTTTTGTCTCGAATATCAAGGCACATATCGTCTTTAGCCATGGAACATCCGGCGAACAGGGTCCATCTGGTCCTTAATGGCGCACGGGAATTGATAAATGGCTTACGTTACATTGTGGGTATCTCTCCTAACCTCATGCATGTTCATTCAATGCAACGTATCTTCTGATAGTTGACGCAGCTGCAATGCGTTTATCCGGATTCCATACTGGCTACGTGTCGAGTTCTTGCACGCTAGTCTCTTGCTTACTCAGTTAGTGAGATAGGTGATTTTGCCATATGTTGACGATGGAAATGTAATTACAAGTCACCAATGAGCGGAGTGGCGCGGTCTCTGGCAAAATCTTCTCAAACTAATCCCTACTTCTGTTCTCAGGTGTCCCCATGTGTGAGAGCGAAAGGCACCATGTGAACACAAGGTAACGAATACACTATTGTCTGTGAGCATTTCGTGTAAAATGCTGCTTTGACTGTCAGAAGTCACTCATCACGCTCACCCATCGACACCTGAGGGCGATCCATCGAGACCACTTTCGTCTTCGGCTCTCAGTGCTAAAGATCCAAACGGACTGTTCAGTTTACCTACCAACACCCCACTTTTTGACGTCCTCCTGACGAGTAGTCTGCTTCACACAGCTTCTTGCGGAATGTCTAGTGCCCAGGTTGCTGTAAGACTTTTAAACATTTCCATATTTCCGACATTAAAAAGTGTCTACAGGCTTGCAGAAAACACGGGCCTGCTTGAACCAGGTTACTCAAATGGGGTGGTTGGAGATTAACTTCAACATTCTGGTTTCCGAACGAACTTCTAGCCGCTAAAATGTCTGTACGTATGGATGGACACCTCACAAAATGCTGTGAAGTTTTTTGATAAAAATGGTTAGCCAGACGCATCGATGAGTAACGCTGACAACAAAGGAATGTGAAGGTACAACGGATGTATCTAACTTTGGCCACAAACCTTGTCATGGGCTTTAATCCAGTTTTTTTGCCGTGGTGCTATATTCACAAACGAGACACAGGTTCAGGCGCAGTTTCCTGGAGTACAGCGGTCCCGAAATGCCAAAATGGTGTATTAAGCCCGATAGGTGCTAACTGTGGCCAGTAAATATGAGATGCGCAAGACGTAGAGGACAGACAGGAGTTTCCTAGGGGCGGTTCAAGTTCTTGGACATCTTATTTTCAATCACTCTGTGTGCTCAGTCGAATTACTTGATCATTCGCATTTTTTCCAAGAAATTACTTACTAGGGGTATATATGGTCCTAAAATTGAACACCATTCCATCTGCTCTTCCCGTATCTCCTCGTGGATGTTACACAGCGCCATTCGCTAGTGATGCCTACAAAAGTGTTGGCTCCGCGCAAAGTTAATAAACGTCGCTACTGGTAGTTGAACCCCCATCTAAATGCTCGATGGGATCCCGGGCAAAAATAGTGTTGACAGGGTTTCCTGTTGCCTGACCTGCCTGTTAACTGTGAGCTAGTCCTTGTCCTATATATGCAACTTTGTAAATAATCACTGTGTCGGGGAAAAACTTTTCCTCCAAAATGTTGTATTTTCACCATGTGCGCTCAAACCGGAGGCCATCAGAATCTGCCTTACTTTTGTTGGAATTCGCGTTAATCACTATTCTTCCTTGATTTTTAACGCGCCCTGAATTAAGAGTTATGACTGTGTCGCTCGCTAGAGAAATCAATTTCGTTGAACTTGTGGGGTCTCTGAACCTGCGAATTCTATAGGAAGTTTGTTTAATTCGGTTGCACGCTTCAGTGATACCTGCTGCTGGCTATTCGCACAATGGGATTGATTTCTCGAAGTCTACGGTATTTTCAGGCTTGCCAGTTCATGGTGTAGAATGTCTATGTATAATGTATATGGCCCTGAACTATCGGAAATCATTTACCACGGCGATTTGTTTAAGTGAGCAAATGCCCAAGGTCAATAAACACCATCGACTGTGAATACGTTGCCCGAGGAAAAAAAATCGCGAATTGTGGAAAACGTTGACTCACTTGCAATAAACGTAACTTTCAGGTAGTTTTACACCGGAAAAAATTTCCTGAACATTTTAGAATCTAAATGGTCTCTGGAGATGCAAAATATGTGTAGATGCATTCGCGAAAAAAATTTTGGTCAATGATTCCTGTTACCAGTTAAAATTCCTTGGTTCACTTTAATTATTCGCGTCACCCTCCAGGATTTGCCGCCTGTCGCAGTGGTACGACGTATGCATCTCGAACTCCCACATGAGCCACTTGGCTTGCCGGGACACCTTCTAAATTGCATGCTCCAACGTCTCGGAGTGGTGCACCTGGTCTTTAAGGAGGCCGTTTGCATTCTCCAATCGGTTGTTGGTCACATTACCGAAGTAAACCATTCCGGACTGTGCATTCTGGCCAATTTTTGGGGATGTACAGCCAGCGAGCCGTAAGATAGGAAAGAAATCGAGGATCGGTGCAGCGCAGAAGCTGCAGGTCGCGCCGGAATCTGTGTGCTTGTAATTTGCTGAACAAAAACCACTGTATAGCGTTGTACAGGCAAGCCATGCGTTGAAATATGTGCCTACCGTTCGCAGAATGTGTATATGACCAAAAATACATGGATATTAAATGAAGCATACGCGCTTCCTGATGGCAGTAGCAAAGCATAGTCACAACCGAACACGGCTCTTGCTGCACGCATTTACGCCGCCAACTTGTCCATTACGAGGGTTTTAACCGGATAAGTTTCGCTCATCATTTTTTTGAATAAACCGAACAGTTTACGCATGGGAGCAAACTGCTCGCTCTCTACGAATGCATACACAACCGAAAGTCCGGTTCCCATGCCATCCGTTATCAAGCAGGTGTAAGTTTATAAATACATGCCGAATATTAGATGCTTTGGAAAATTTACCCAAGGCGGTTTGTTGCTTGCGTTTGATCTACATTCACTACTTCTAAAAGCGTCGGAACAACGCTATCTGCTGCCATCGAGGGAAGCACATGTGGCTATAGTGACCTTCATGTGACTAACACACAAGGACGCGTTTGGTCTCCCGAAGTTTTGCCAGGACCGAAGGCATATCACCTGCTACATTAAAACCCAACCATGCGGCACCTACTCAACATAGCCGGTCGACACTTCTGGCGGTAGTTGTGTATATCCTTGCCAAATTCATCCGCCACAAACTGCCGCACCTCACATGACGGTGTTCCATATTTCAGAAGGGCGTTGCAGGTGCCTAACACGTCTTCGGTTAGCCGTCGTTTAACTGGAAGCCGGTCGTACAGAAACTTTGATAACTTGAGGTTGTGTTCAAGAAAATAAGAGGTGACTGCCAGTTGGTTCCTTTGCCTCCGTGGACAAAACCGCACTGGACAGCTGGTGTTTTGCGTACTTTTTTATTAGTAAATACTCTTAGCTTACTAGCTTCTCCAGATTTCCCGGCTTTCCGCTGGCCTAGGAGGGGGCCTGCTGCATTTGTAGTACGCCCATTCGTATCGCAAAACACCGTTGGTGCTTCGATTAATGGATGAAAGGACAAATACCACAAAGTTATCCTTTAGTATCGACTTAGGGCCTTCTCAAATGCCGTGAAGGATGGAAATGATAAACCCACAAATCTCGCAACGAACGATTGTGAAGCCACTTCCGAAGCCATAGCACACCAAGTTCAAAGCCGAATGTGCGCCAATAATTTTCAAAAGAGATCGATTAAAATAAATCGCAAAAAAGTGACGTCAGATGGGGGTGATTTTTAAACTTAGCACATATGCAAAGAGGTGACATTTTGGCATAAAATTTTTATTTCACCCACAGGGGTTTGCAGAAAAATGCATTGTGCGTCGAGGGCGCGGCTTGATACGTTGTTGACAGCATTCTTTTAAAGTGAACTTTTAAGGTCACCGACCCACACCGATTCACTCATGAGCCCCATTTCACGGACCTGCAATTCATGCACGAGCCAGCATTCTGATTGGTAAAGTTAGGCACAAGCCAGGAAGCGCGCGCATTCAAATTGCGTTGGTACGCAAGCCAACAGACGAACTAGTTGCGTGCTTAAAGCGCCTAAATTAAGGAAAGGGTTGTAAAAGCAAGCGCGAAAATCGTCCGAAACAATGTGGAAAATTTATTTCAAGACATCTTCGCTTATTCGTGTAAGATATGCGCAATTTGGTGTGGATGAATACATTTACTTAACATTACAAAACGTAACCATATGCCGTAAATAGCCCTCCACTGACCTCTCTTCGCACAACCTTTTTGTGACTATCCGCACCACCTCCCTCAATAAAAGTTTGGAAAGAAGTCAATATTTGTGTTTTCGGAAACCTTGCCCCAAAATAACTACTACGGTTCTTTTCGCACCCAGAACTTTAATTTGCTTCCGTCTTATTCGCTCATATTTTTACGCTATATATGAATTGCAGCATAAACAGTTGTACAAACTTAAGTGATCTGTTCACAGGAACTCGGCACAAAACTGCTTTTTGGAAGCTCGCCCCGCGCATATTGTAATAATCGAAAACAATTTGACACATTGCGCGGTGTGGACGCGAGGGTGGATCCCTGTATATGATGCATTCTTGGATATGCGAAAATAGTCAGTAAACAATGCATCGATTTCACGTATTTGCATGTGAACTGCCAACTTATCGATGAGACGTGCTTCCCAGTGAAAACATGAAGATATATATATATATATACAGCGAGAATGCAAACTCTCCAATACCAGCATGCTAAACCAGCGTCGAAATCTTCATTGCCACGCACCACTTATATATTAAAGCTGGTAGTGATACTTCTTGGAGTGGTGATCATCCTCCCTACAATCACCTTCCCTCCTAGATTGTCCTATTATTGTCCACCTTATTAATAACCTCCAGGGAATCTAGTCCACCATCCCAGAAGTTCCACCTTCGCCACTCTTACGTATTCGGTTCTCCTTACCACGCCGCCGGAAGCTGTTCTCCGACCACTTATTACTTACATACTGTCCCTGTTCATATTATCACCCTGTTTGCACAACGGAAAACTTACATTTCGGATTCTTCTGGTAAGCTAAAAAATACCGCCATGTAACTGCCTGTTCCAACCAGTCCAACGACTAGCCTCCCAGCTAGCCACTTCCGCGGCAAAGTCCTTTACTTCCCAAAATTAGACAACCGCTCTGACTCAGCCAGCAATTCGCTCCTGGGCCGGCAAACAAATCCGCTCTCTCCTAGGTCCATTTAGCGTGTTATCATCCTCTTTTAGATTTTTACCTATTGACACCGTTTTATCTGATGCCTCCTGGTACTCATCCGACGATGCCGCTCTCATTTTTCCTTCCTCATCCCCTGTCCTACCAAGATTTAAACTTCGGCTGTAGTTACCGAAACGGCGTTATTCATTCAATTTGGATGGTACCTGGTCCACACTCACTTGGTCCTCTAAATGAAGGGAAATCATTCGTGACCCCGCATCGGTCCAACTCCACCTGGTCAATCTCCTCGCCTAACCCAGATCCAGCTGCCACGGAAATGCGTATCCCCTCTGCGATTGTGGCATCTTTGAAAACCGTTACGGGGCTGTCCGTAAACTGAAGTGTGACAGCGCAAAGATGGCATGGCACTATCATACCCAGCACTCGAGCAACTACTTTCTTCAGAATCTCGCAACCATTCACCCAAGTGAGCCCGTAACTGCAACCACGAGAAAAGTTTTCACCGTGCCCTTACCGCTCCTGGTATGAACTCATGCTAACCCGACGAAACATTCGTTCGGATTTGACCAACCTGGTTTTCTGCTGCAATTTCGATTCGCTTCTTCCACAAGTTGAATTCCATATAGGGTGTCTGTTTGGCCCTATGCATTGACACTATCTAATCATCAAACCCATCCACTTCATTGACTTCCTACAACAGTAGCACTCGTCTACTTAGTTTCAGATTGAGCCATATTTTCCGGACAAAAAATGCCATTTGCTTCTACTTCGAATTATTTCATCTCCAATTTGCGCCGTGGGCTAGACACACGCCCAAAATTTCTCTGAAACCGTGGTTTGAAGGAGGAAATCTTTAACATAAAGTTTCAACATTTGATGGTAATTTTTCGGGCGTATGAGATCTTCCCAAACGGCCGCAGTTTTGTTGAAAGTTGTTTAAATCTACTCAATCCCAACGATATTCAAGGCCCGCGGTATCCATATTTTAAGTGGCTGTTATGGCTGAGCACGTGAATGCGGAGGATGATTTTGTGGAGAATTTAGCTTGTCAAAGTTTTTTTCTCATTCAATGCATTTCAAGTCACTTTGAAAGAGTACCGGGCGAAACATTACGTTGTTTTCGTCCGTATAAACTCCA